AGCTCTCAAATAACTTAAAATAGCATATGTTATATATATGCTTAAATTAAACCAGTTAAAGATTATCTAACTATTGTCATGTTGCCCGGTTAAATGGTATATATGATGTTTTGGTTAGTACACATATATTTTAATAATATATAATATTTTGGTTCAATACACATATATAAATATATATAAGATAATTTTATTAAAAAATAGTATTAAAATATAATTTAATATTAATTCCTTTACTATAAATAAATAATAAAATACAATTGGTTACATAATTTTTTAGTAAGTTGTGAAGCAACAAATTTGGTCGATAAATTATCAATCAATATTTAAAGAAAAAACATCTTACATATTCAAACGAGTGGATATGTTACAAGAGTAAATTTCCTCTAACAATAATCTATTATGTTAGAGCATGTCCAACGGAGTATCCACGACACTTCTAAATAATGTATCTAATTATTTATGTGATTAAATTTAAATCAAAAAGATATAATTTAGATAGATATGGTTCTACAATTGAAAGTTTTGGATCTACTTCTAAATGATATGTGTCATTTTGTGAGAGGTGGTATTTTTTAAAAGAAAAGAGAATTCTCAATCTATATTATATGGTTTTATGTCAAGTTAATTTAAATTTTATGTAATTCAATAATTATAAATTTTTTTTATTATACAGTGTGATGCAAGTAATCAAATCTCTTATTATAAATTTTCAATTTTTGAAATTTAGAACCTTTAGCTGATTCTACCATTGGAGGGACTAAAATTAAACAAGTATCTAAAACTTTTAATTTAATTATTTTCACTTAAAAATTAATTTAGAACTCATGATAAATCTATTGTTGGAGATGGTCTTACTATGGATGCGGTAGTCTAGTTAGTTTAGGACGGACGTTGGTGCTGATGTACTCTTGAGTTTGATCCATCGTGGTAAAAGTGCTCTACATTAGAAATGGTATCTATTTTCGGACCCAATGGAAATTAAGACCCAATGTCCAAATTTCTTTGGAAATTCAAAAAAAAAAGAAAAAAGAAAAAAATAATGTATTATGTTCAAGCTTGGGTACAATTGTAACTTGAAAAGGTGCAGAAAGCCATGTAAGCCTTGCCTTTCATTAGAGAGAGGGAGAGATATGAGTACGTTCCAAGACAAAATGATGAAAAGGTCATGGGGGACGCCATAAAGGATTAGCGTGGGAAATGAAGCAAAAGAGAGCACTGTATTTTTCATGAACAAAATTGACTTCCTACTATATTTCCATTGCTGTGCTCAATTATTCTGCTATTGTTTACTTTTATTGACATTTTTGGCCTTCGAGTTCGATTTAAGCAGCCTCTTTGATTTTATAACATATATAGTCGGTCAAACTTTAACCCTTATACCTCATACTTTTTCACAAAAATATAACAAAAATCAAAGAAAATTGCGGATCTTTTCCTTTTTATCTTATTTTTTAAGGGAATTCATTTCCATAGAAGACCATCTACTGAAAAAAAAAATTCAGTATTGCATTTGCATGCTAGCGAACTACATGAAACAAAAAAGTAGTTTGTGTGTGGACCGTGTGTTTTGCCACTGATTATCTTGGTCATGCGCTACATTCTAGATGTAGAGAGAAATTAGCATCCATCATTTAAAAAAAAACACATGTAAAAAAGGTTCATGTACTCTATAAATAAAAACCGAGTATATACCCATTCTCGTGCATGGATACATGTACACGTCAATTTTCCAAAGAAGACTCAATATTGTATATTAGTAAAAAAAATTCGGTAAGAAATAATTTCAAAACAAGATAAGAATTAAATAAGAGTATTTGTACTCCATACACACACAAAACAGCTTATTTAGCTCTATACCCTATTTTTCTCTTCTCTTTCCTTCCCCACATCACTACTTTTTCCCCCTAAAATATGGCAAATCCCTAAATATTTATTTCTTTTGGTATTTTGAGCTAAATCACTCATTAAATAATCTCTAATTCGATAAAATTTATTAAGAGCTTCTACGATTAAATGAAAGTGCGAAGGAAAGCAAAAGGCTTATACTTTTATACTCGGGGTATCTCACAGATCGAGATCTAGCTGACTAATTTCATGGTAATTTAATTACTGGTGCCAAACAAATCCGAATCCGACTGATCTCAGAAACAAACTCTTTTTTTTTCCGCAGAAGGCTTCTTGATTGCAAGTTTGAGACTAAGGTCATGACGATCCGGCCAGCCTGTTTAGTCTTTGGTCGGTCCGACACTGTTTTATATTTTGTGTTCACTCTGTATTTAATTCATTTTCGTAATTATTTATTTTTGGATTATAGTGTCTCTCAAACTCTCCCATATCCCATAAAAACATAAAGAGCGAGAGATTGTTAGCAGAATATAAGAAATCATCTTTCAGATTTAACTAGGAAAACCAAGAACTGGCTCTTGATTTTTAAGAATTTGTTCTTAATTGGTTCTAATTTTTTTTTAATTAAAAGTTAAGAGACGATTTTTTATATTCCACTTAAAACCGTTCTAGTTATTTTCTATTAATCATGTTCTAACGGGGTGTAATGTAAAGTAAAGTATGGACCGGTCACTACAAATTAAGACAATATTAGTTTTGATTTTATATTCTTCTGATAGCTACACTTCTTAGTTGAGCTTTCCGTAAGCTGAAAGCAAATACGACTTGCAGAGTGACTTTACAAGTTGCACACTATCCATCCACATTTACGTTCTTCGAATAAATAATTCTATTTAGGAAAGCCTGGAAGTTGTAAATGGTTTATCTATGCATCAAGACATATATTTATATGCATCTCTACATATAGATCCATGTATGTAAAACCCACAACAATAAATCATTTGCATGTTATGTCGTCTAAGAACTTCGTTCTCATGATTTATAACAATTGTGATTTTAAGAAGACTATCGTCGGCGCCACGTACTAGTGTTTGTATATATATGATGTTCTTATTATGTATGTGAGGATCGGCAAACATTAAGCTCAGATATATAAATGTTAACTAGGCTTTGGGTTCGGTTTTGGTTTGAATATTTAGGAATCACTCGGGTACATATTAAATTCGATTCAGTTATTTTAATTTTCAGTTTAATAATAAAACTGGAAAATGACTAATATTCCTAATATTTTTGGATCCAATTCAATTCTGCTTTGGTTCCATTATAATTTCAGATAATTTGAATTTTCAAAATATACATCATATGCTTTGGATTGTTAGATCAAAAATTCATGTAACTAGGATAACTGTCAATTTTCTAATAAAAACATTTGAGTAATCTATTTTTGAGTAATCCATTTTATAAATAGTATTTTAGTCTATTTCGTTATTTAAAATAAAATATAGCTCATAATTTAAAATATATAAACTATATATTAACTATTCGCGTATCTATATTCGTGTATCTGTTAGGTCCTTGTTTCAGCTCTCCAACCAGTTTTTGTTTTGTGGATATAAGAACTGTTTAAAAATTTGTGAATATTGTTTTGGTTTTGGGTTTGGGTTTGGGTTTGGTTTCGGTTTTTAATTTCAAGTTAATTGCATTCATAATTCAGAAACATATTATATATAGTTAAAAGAATAAATTAGTTTAGGTGTTGAGATAGTATTTTTTTTTTATTAATCGGTTATAAGTAAAGAGGAATGAAATATTCACTGTAATATATATTTTTATTAAAAAATTGCATAGATAGAAACTCTCAAATTTGTAAAAAAAAAGTGTTGAAATTTGTATTAAATTGTCTGTAGTCTCTAAATTCTCAAGATCGGTTCTGAAATGTATTTCCACCAAACCACTAGATGATGATCGATACTACAACTCTCTCTCTCTCTCACTCTCTCACAAACATGTATGTACCCCTCTCAAATTTTATCACTATCGTGGGATTGGTTTGAAAATACAAATGGAGCCGGTCATACCCTTCCCATTTACAGTTAACCGGTAAACATTTGTACCCAAATGGAGCCGATCATACCCTTCCCATCTATCTCTCCAGCACCTCTTTGTTTGGTAGGTTCTTACACAAACTAGCTTATGTATTTTCCAAAAAAAAAAACAAATCGTTTTAGTCTATTGATAACTGGATTTCATCTATAGTTTTTGCCCTAGATTCGACGTGCACTAACCATCCATTGACAACTGAAATAACAAAAAAAAACAGATTTTTATGGGACTCGTGGAATTAGTTTTAAAACCTAAAAAGTGTTCAAAATTCTCATGATTATAAAAAAGTAATATTGTCCAAAAAAAACTAACTTACATATATTCTTACAGAGTAATTAAGGCTATTATTATTTTTTAGTTACAAAAATAATAATAATAAGCCTTAATTATTTCCAGGTCAATTTAGAACCTAAATCTCAGCATCAATATACGAACATTTGATAATGTAAAGGTCATATTTATCCCATCTTGGTGAATCTCAAACGTAATTATCTAGTTTGCTTAATATTAATTCGAACCATTCTGTATTACTATTTTTTGGGAGAAAATTACGTATTACTATTTTGTAATAACGTCGATTTAAATTTATAGTAAACCGATTCGTAGTGATATGTATCACGGTTTTAATCACTGAAAAAAACAGACCACAATTATACAACATGTTGTGTGCACTCTGATGAGTAGAAGCTAAGTTTAGTGGTCTACATACACATACAAATTTAATAGTAATTCCGACCCATTTGTTACTATTCCAAGCTAAGTTTAGGTACGTATATATGCAAGTAAAAATATAAACTGTTTTCTTTATACAAATTATATATCGACAATTAATGAAGTATTAGATCTACATGCGTAGGTTAAAGGGATGGATAATATAAAGAAACTTAAACCCATTCACCTTTTACCTTTTTAATAATTCCTCCAAAACACAACATACAAGTTGCAAACTCTATATATATCCTTGGAACCATAGATATATTACAAAAGCATATAAGTGCTCCTACATAAATCTGCATTTGAAAGCAAGCTTTTGTCTCTTTTTAACTCTCTCAACTCCTACCTTTACCAACCTTGACACACATATATATATATATATATAGAGAGAGAAAGAGAAAGAGAATAGAAAGATGGAGACTTTTATGTCTTCATAGAAACTAGTGATGTGTGCAAAGAAAGAAGAAGTAGAAAGTTCAGGAGCCATGAACAACATACAAAATTACCAAAGTGACCTATTCTTCCACCAACTCATCTCTCATCATCATCATCACCAAGATCCTTCTCAATCCGAATCTTTCGGAGGTCCGAGCACTAACGTCGGATCCGGATCCACTATCTTCTCTCAAGATTCCGTTTCTCCAATATGGCCTACTTTGGTCCAGCCACCGTTCGATCCCTTTCATCATCCATCTCCAGCATCTTTCTACGGGAGTTTCTACCCTAGAAGTCGAGCTCATCATCAGGGTTTACAGTTTGGGTACGAGGGTTTTGGTGGAGCCACGTCAGCAACACATCATCATCACGAACAGCTTCGGATATTGTCCGAAGCTTTAGGTCCAGTAGTGCAAGCCGGGTCAGGCCCTTTTGGGTTACCAGCTGAGTTAGGGAAGATGACAGCACAAGAGATCATGGATGCAAAAGCTTTGGCTGCTTCAAAGAGTCACAGTGAAGCTGAGAGAAGACGTAGAGAGAGGATCAACAATCATCTTGCTAAGCTCCGTAGCATATTACCAAACACCACCAAAGTAAGTTTACTTCAAATTTTCACATTAATTACACGTTCATGATCATTACAACAATTTTAATGTAAAAAAGAATATTAAAAACAATGTAGAGTTGAAATGAACAAACATAGCAGCTGTGACATGAAAGTTCATGTCATATTTTGTCTATTTTTATTTACTTTTTAAAATTTAGGTTTTATAAAAGGAAAGGGTTTCTCTTGAATCATGGATCTTCTTTAAATTCCCGAGGAGAGAATCAGTCAGGGACTGAAGAATAAATAACAAGTGTGGTGGGATTATGGAACGTCAATGTCGCTTCTTGCTTAGTTGATGTAATAAAGAGAAACAAAACGATGCTACTCAAAAAGAATAAAAGCAACAAAAAGAAACTTATTACCGGACCAAATCATTACTTCCTCGACCACATGATGTTCTCCTCGATAATAACAAATTTATGTTTGTGATAATGTTGTGTTATATGACCATGTTATCTTCTTTTTTTTTTGGTATACAGACTGATAAAGCGTCGTTACTAGCGGAAGTGATTCAACACGTGAAAGAGTTGAAGAGAGAGACTTCAGTAATCTCGGAGACAAACTTAGTTCCAACGGAGAGCGATGAGTTAACGGTAGCTTTCACGGAGGAGGAAGATATGGGAGATTGTAGGTTCGTAATTAAAGCCTCGCTTTGCTGCGAAGACAGGTCGGATCTATTACCGGACATGATCAAAACGTTGAAAGCGATGCGTCTCAAAACGCTCAAGGCGGAGATAACGACCGTAGGTGGACGAGTCAAGAACGTTTTGTTTGTCACGGGAGACGAGAGTTCGGGCGAGGATGAGATGGAAGAGTATTGTATAGGGACGATAGAGGAAGCTTTGAAGGCGGTGATGGACAAGAGCAACGTTGAGGAAACGTCTTCTTCTGGGAATGCTAAGAGACAGAGAATGAGTAGTCACAATACTATTACCATCGTTGAACAACAACAACATCACAGGTAATCATGTTTTAATCGCGTATTTACGTGTGTGTTCTATGGAAAATTAATGTTTGTTTGTCACGTTATACTATGGATATGTGTGTTTATTTGTGTATGTGTAACGGATATATTTGTATCCCTTGGCACTTTGTTTGGTTCTAAATGTACTTTCTTTTGCTTGTTTCGTTGAGACTTGGGTATATGATTATTATTTTTCACCTCTAGGTATGAGTATGTATCCGTCAAAAGATGATGCATATAGGACTTGCAACATTTTGCCATGTGATTTTGTATTTTCTTTGTTGCAATTGTTAAAGTGAAACCAAAAAGAGACAATGAAGAAGAACAGGAAACGTACCAAAGATGATGTGTGTCAATTGTCAATTGTCATTAATTGATTTTAGACGGGTTCGGTCTGGAGAATACAAAAAAAAAAGAGATAAGTTTCGGATTCTGAGCTTTGTACGTTGATGCTCCTCTGACTCTTTTGCCTTGTGTATTTACGTGTCTCTTGTTAAAATCTTGTTCGTGCAAAGAGTTTATATGTTATATCCATTTCTTATAAACAACCAACTTTGAGGAGTTAGACCTAAAAGACAAAAAGAAGGTACTCTTCACGTGTTTCTCAACAAAAGTATTTGTCTCAAGAAACTAGTTACATAACAAAGGTGAACAAAAAAAGAGTGATTTGTTCTGAGTAGAATATTACATATTTATCTCTCTGTCTGTTGAAACTTACATTAATGCGAAGTAATTAAGGGTGATTAAAAGACAAAAAAAGTAACCCTTCAAGTGTTTCTCAACAAAAGCATTTGTCTCAAGAAACTAGTTACATAACTAGTTACATATTTATCTCTGTCTGTTGACACTTATATTAATGAGAAGTAATAATTAAGGGTGAATAAATGATAGTTAAAGATCAAATCAAGGAACGTGTGACCGCTTAATATGCATGATCGATAGGTGATACTGATATGTGATTGGTCATGACGAGGAGATTACGTAATCGACGTCGTATTTGTGTAAGATTGCATCACTAAGTGAAGTACGTAAGACGTTATTAATTATTATGATGTTTGGTACGTACTATCGTACCCTAACTGGCATTTCATTTGTCTTTTAACAGTTTTCACCTAAGTGACAGCCATATTAAGTTATTAACTGTTCAGTATGACTCCTCCTTTGGCTGTTTGTAGACATGACATTCTCTTGTTTTTATTGCAGCCTTTTGTTTCTATTTTTTGACATTGTCTTAATTTTAAGAAAAGCCCAAACTAAGCCCAAACCAAGGAAAATGAAGCTCTGAACTCTGTAAACAAATCTTATATATTAAAACAGAAGTCATGACTTGATTTCATGTGTGATTTTTTTTAAAATGGACTATTACTATAAAGTCATGTTACATTAACTCTCTAATAATCTTATCATTATTATATCTTATGAAAAATCATATCTATAATAACAAAGATACGCTTAACAATGTAGTTTTGGTAAATTACTCCACACCTTCCAACTTAGTCACACAAAATATGTTAATAGATATAAGTTTAGGAATCTACTATTATTTATAAGGAAATATGTCAATAATAGTTAAATGCATCTACAATATATTAACAAAATCACAGATTCGTAATATGAAATATTTATATACCCTAAAAAAATTTACACGCTATATATACTAGATAAATTTATTTCCATGTAAATTTTTAAAATTATATTGTTTTAAAAAAAAAAAGTTGTTTACAAGATTTCTTTTTAATAAAATTCTTTATAATATTAATTTATGAAGCTATAAGTTTAGTTTTTAGCAAAAAATTCTTTGAAGTTTATATTATCTTTGCAAATTAAAGTATACTAATATTTAATCAATCTCTATTTATATTATTTTATCTAAAAATGAAATATTAATCTAACAAACAATAAAATATAGAAGAAGAAACAAACACATGTTTGAAACACATGTGTAATATAGAAAATTAGATACAATCTATTTGATTAAAACACGTATCTTATTATATAAAGGAGAGTTTTCCTCCCTCCTATTATGCCATGTCACTAATTGAGATCATCACGTCCTGACACGTGTACACCAACCAAACCACTGCGTTTCGTTTATGTGCTGCTCCAAACGATTTGGATTTCCTCTAATTGTTGGGCCTTATCTCATGTTCAGTTCACCAGCCCAGTGATGAGCAAACCTAAACCTTCCAAACTCTTCTTAGATTTCACAAGCCCAATAACCAAATGCTCCCTTTTGTATACCTATTCTCCTTCAATCCCCGAAAACCAAAAAAAAAACTTATGCTTTCTCAGAACACCAACAATGAAATCTCTGGAGTTTGGGTGACACGAATCGACGCCAAGAATCTCTACGTTGTTCTTCAGCCGTGTTGTAACTTCTCCTCTTCAAATCATCAGAAACGATTTGAGTTACAGATTCATCGCCTTCTTAATTTCATGGATGGCATGAACCACAATCTGAAATTGAATGCGAGTTATCCCTTATCCCTCATCAACGCGGTGAAACACCTATAAAAGGTAAGTTTTCTTCCTTGGAACATCTTCTTCTCAAACCATGAAAACATCATTTTCTCTGAACTCGCTTTCTCATTGATACTCTTTTCTGAGTTGAAGTCCTGCCGCTGCTCCTCCACCATCAAAGTGAGGTCGCTCAGAATCTGGGAAGCCAGGAATGTAAAGCGTGATGGGAGTTTATGGGGATCGATATGCTGCTACAGGTAATTCTGATCTTAAACTCATTTTCTACTATTACACTTTTCCGGCGTGTTTAATCCTCATTATCAAGACATGTTTAAACCGTATATTGATTATACTGTCTATTTGACATTATACTTTTCCAAGCGAACATGATGCCAGCAACTGTTAATTTCCACCGACTTTCAACTTACAGCCTTTATCTCAAGGCGGTTAAGTGTATTCCATCACCGGTTTTGAAGTGAGTCGGTATAGACAAAACTTCAGGTTCTCTGACTCCTCTCTATTGATCCGGTTCAGTGATGCAACCTCTTTCGAGGAGGTTCCCGAGCCAGCTACCTCGATACCTGAAGAATGTTTCATGTTCCGTGATCACAACGAGATGCTTGGTCTAGCCATCACCAACACCCAACTTCTAGGTAATCATCCTCTTATCTCTTCATCAAAATATCAGAATAAGATATTTAATATTCATCCTCCAAAAAATATTATTGGTTAGATAACTGATTTGAGGAGTACTGTCACTGACCCTCCATAAGCCAAAAACTGTGTGATAGCGACCATCAAAATTTCCTTATCTGATGTATCATTAGTTTAATGATAACTACATGTTGACCACTTTACAATCTGTTTTATACTGGTACTGATGTATATGTGACTTTAAGTTTGTTCGACTCACAAACTGATAAGTTCCATAACCCAAAAAATAGTGGAAGATATTAACTTATTATCTTTGGTTTGACTGCCTTATAACTCTTTTTAGTACATTCACGTAATCTTCGTTTTGTAGGGTCTTGGTTTCTCAATATCATATCAGGGACTAAAATTTACTTCGAAAAAGAAATTAATAGAGTGAAAGTGTTTTTAACAAGTAAGTGTCTTGGTGATTATTAAATATAAACAGCCACATTAACTATTAAATACTATTTATCTATCACTTAATCTGCCGGGTTTCTGTCCATCTATGTAGTCTGGTCTCCAAAGACATTGGGCATACATCAGTAGCTCCACTGCTCTATGCCAAGGTTGAACCTCTGAAATTAGTGGTTGTAGTCGTCAGGCGGAAGGGCCTTCCAAGATAGTGAAGAGGGCAGCAAGGCATAGGTCAAGATAATGAGAGCTCCGTAGGCTATATTTCTTCAATAATGCTTACACAATGTTTTTTTTTTGTTCTGAACAAGTTTTTCTATGTCTACTGAGTAATCTATGTTTGGTTGAGACATCTTTGGAAAATATGTCTCAGTTTTAATTGGTATTGTTTATATATTAACCTTCAGACGATTTTGATAAAATCAGTCTTTGTTTTATTTGGTTTATAAATTTAGTAAGTGTCACTTAATTATTAAGTTCCAGTTATTATATGCAGCATTAACATTCTACTTACTGTGATGTACTTTCGTGAAATTCAGCGACTATTAACATTCAACTTAAAAGCAGTATTAACATTCAACTATTATGCGAAATGTTGACAAAAAAAACATTATGCGAAATTCTTCCTTTAACTAGCAATAACAATTTAGAATACAATGTTACAATTTAAGTTATTTACTCAACGATATCCTAACAGCCCAAGCCATTCATACAAATGATAATCATAAGATTCATAAGCTCATTATTCATTGTCTAAAATTCAGAATGTACTAAACATACAACCAGAAGATCATGTAGACCTATCCATATAGACAAAAGCATCAAAACTAAACTTGATTAATCTTAACATATATAATCTTTTCAAATACAAAACATTCTTAGAAACTATTAATGTTATTATGCACCTCTCTTGCAAATAATAAAATAAAACAAACTCAATAAAAATATAAAACAATATAGTTATATACATCATACATGAAATATATCCTGCGCATAACACGAACCAACCGTATTATATATATATATATATATAGTTAAGGATATAATTTCTAAAATTAATAGTAAAATAAATATATTGTTATGAAAATATTATGAAAGTAAATCTTATTTTACTTAAAAATTTTACACACTTTAAAGTAAATTTATATATTATTTTATATATTCGCCCGTCCGTAGGACGGGTTTCCCCTAGTTATATAATATTATTATGTTTAAAAAACATTTACTATCCATATCGTAAATATGTGATTACTATAATATATACCAATTAATAAGTGAAAACAAAATGTTTATATAGTTAACTATAAACGAAAACAAACACTCGCGCGGTTGCGCGGGTCAAAATCTAGTATTTCATTAGTTCAGAGATTTTAGTGGTTTAGTTTTTGATATACTTTTATTTGATTCGGTATATGTTGCTTTTGAAAAATAAAATATTTAATCAGCTGATCAGTTCAACTGAAGCAAACAGATAACTACGTAATTTAAAATTATTACTCTTCGGTTAATCTAAATAAGCAAACAAAAACAAACAAAAATTGGTTAATTCGGTTTAGAAACTCAGGACCTCCGGTTATATGTTACATGTCAGCAGGCCCTATCAGGAATATTGCAGTTTGTGCTATCAAAATATCACGGTTTATCATTATTAAACCATTAGTGTTTGTCAACCGCCAACAATCTTATCAGCATCAAGAATCTCTAACCCAGAGTTGTATACTTGC